TAAGAGACAGTGGCAAAGATGGACTGTGGTGCTAGGGAGCATATGCCCCAGCCCATCACTGCCCGGCCCAGCCCTTAGCAGAAGTAGGAGGGATGGGCTGGCTGCTGTGGGACTCCCCACAGTCATGAGAGGGACCTGCCTTCCAGAGCCCAGAAGAAGCCCACTGGACACACATGCACATGCACACACATGCACACGTGCACACATGCACAGCCTGAATCCACAACTTGTGCAACAGAGGAACCTGACCACAAAGTTACCTGCAGCTTCCACCTTCCCTGACATAAGGAGGTGATGTTTATTAAACACCCAGTGGATGCCTAGACTGTGAGTCAGCTACTCTATAGGCCTTGTTGATTTAATCCTCGTGGCCACTCTCGGATGATGCTCTACCAGATTTCATTTTATTATGGAAGATAAATTATATTTTAACAGAGAAGGATACCGAGGCCCCAGATACAGCCCTAGACACCAGGCAGTGGAGCCCAGAGCCCACATATCCCATGAAGAAGCTTGATTCCAACTAGTAATGGCAGCCTGGCTGGGGAGCACAGGGTGCCAGGAAGAATCGAGACGTAGGGAATGACAGATTGTTCCATAATGCCATGGTGGAATATTGTTCTATATCATGTTGTAAGGTATCACCACATCATATAATAACATTATATAATAAATAACACAGCTCTACCCTGAACTGGTGACACTCTCGGCTAGGAAGCCCAGCATGGAGCCCTTTCTGGGCTCGCCCCTATGGGTCCCAGCCTCGGTCCCTCCTGCCGTGGAATCCCAGGCACTGTGGGCAGGAGGGGTCTCCTGGGACTCCTCCAACGGCCACTCGCTGTACCATATGGAAGCTTGACATGCAAACAGCTTCCAGCAAAATGGGGAGGGAGGAGCAGAGTCAGGATGGGGTGTCAGACAAAGCAAGCAATTAGTTTTGCAAAGGCTGTCAGGAAAGTAAGGGGAGGGGACAGACAGTGGTGCCAGAGAAAACGTTCTAAGGGGAGCCTGGAGCCCTGTGATTAAGGAAGAGAGGTACTCAGGCTCACCCGCACTTCTCACTCTTTTTTTACAGAGCCCAGGCTCAGTGGGTGCTGCCACAGCCTCCTGCCGCCGTGGAGCTCAACAGCGTGCATAACGCCAGGGCCTCCAGCTCCATTCATTCTAGCCTGCTTTGCATCCCAGGAGACAGAGTTCGAATGGGATGACTGAGCAGGAAGGAAACACACAAAAAAATAAATACTCTCCTTCCCAAAGCTGAACCACCAGCCGGACGTCCAGGAACTTGGAGATTTGTACAATCCATGGCCATGGCCACATCCAGCCGGTGCCAGAAGGACAGTTTTTTATACTTTTAAGGGACTGTGAAAAAGAGAAGAAAGAAAAGAAAAGGCAACAGAGACACCACATCACATGGCCTGCAAGGTCTGAAATATTTACTTTGTGGTCCTTTCTAGAAAAGGTTTGCTGGCCCTGCTCTAGCCCCACCAGCTGATTCTTCAAAAGGCTCCACCCTTTCAGGCTTTGGAAGGTGGTAGTGGGGGTGGACAGGTATCCAGCACATTCCAGGCTCTCATCTAGTCCTGATGGGGTCAGTGATGAGTAAAGTCCGTGCTTAAACATACACTTGTCCCACACACACACACACGCACAGGCACATGCACACACACACATGCACATGCACACACACACAGGCAAACGCACACGGTTTTCTGAGCCCCCCACTCCAGCCAGGCACCGCCAGGCCAGGGGTGCAGAGCAGGAGACACTGACCAGCCGCTGCCTTCAGGGAGCTCACTGTCCCTCAGGGATACAGCTTCAGTGGAGGAGGCAGCGGAGCCTTGTGCCCAGGTGACATGCCCTGCAAAGCTTCTGGTTGGGCAGTTTCAACCTCTTCCAAAGTGTTATCTGAAACTGATCAGTCTGGAGCTTCCTAGTCAGCACCAGTGAGGCCATCTGCATGATATGATCCCCCAGCCCCTGAGGGAAGGTGGATTTCCCTGAATAATCTTTTCTTAAGCTAATAGCCTCCGGCCCACCCTCTACTACCTGTAAAGACCTTCTACTTTGTGTAACTCCCTGCAAGTATCTACAGAGGAGGCTGCCAGTTCAAGAGCCATTTCACAGACAATTGTGAATTTTGTTTTCTAACAATCCGTGCATGTGCATTCATGCCAGACCCACTGAGGACACTCCAGGAACATGCACCTCCAACAGAAGTGGGTTCCTAAGTCCTGCACAAACCAGACAGCAGACATTCTCCACACCACACCGCTCGCTGCAAAGCCACAGAAGTTTCTTCTGCAACCTCAGGGAGCCAGGACTATGTCCACAGCTGCCACACACAGGCACACACATGGGGCCTGCCCTAGAAAACAAAGAGTATCTGGAGAGGAGGAGAGGGAGCTTATGGACTGCACACCCAGCAGTTAGATGGGTATCGCGAGGCATCATGGCATGGTGAATCAGCCAGCATTCTCCCCAGGAGATTGCCCCTACCCCTTCAGGACCCTTCTGCATCCAGAGAGACCAGACCCACCACCCCAGCATCTTCCTAAGTCACAGGAGGTGCAGAATGCCTCAAAAGGCAAGAGAAACAACCTCAACCAGAGCTCCACTGTGCCTTGGAAATGGGCAACTGGGACTCATATCAGGGGGCCTGAAAGTCACTCTCCAAAAATTCCATCATGAGGTTTCAGGCTGCCAAGAGTTCTGGAGGAGGGCTGCAGCCAACTCTGCTCCAAGAACTTCATCCTGGGCCTTGGTCATCTGCCAGAGTGGGGCTTTGCCATCAGGTGAGAAGAACAGGATTCTGGAAAGACCTGGAGCCGGATCTGCTCCCGGAGCTTCCCCAGATCTCAAAAGGTTTATAAATTTAGAGCACAATGAGCATTCAGGAACCAAATTCCAGCCCCCTGGAAGATTCTATTCTCTGGGGATGCCCAGTCGGCCTGGATAACCACATAGGCCAAGATCAAAACTCATTCAGTCAGCCACCCCAAGAGAGCCGAGCCACAGCCCCCGCTGGGTTATCCAGCAAATTCCTGGTGAAACCAAGGGGACCTCAAGCCTGTCTCTCAGCGATGATGGACGGGCTGTTTCCAAGCACCCCTCTCGGGGAGACATTGGTACTCACTGACTGTGGCGATTATAAATAATTGGTGTCTATTTATAAGACCTTCGAAGGCCAATTCTCCTCACATCAACAGCAAGAATTAATTTTTTTTCAAATGTCCTAGAACAGATGTTTGCCGTTGGGCTATCTTTCTGCCGATGAACAAGGCCCTGGGCATGAATGATCACTGCCCTTCCAGCCTTTCCTTCTCTCCCTAGCCCTTCACCCACTGCTCCCAAGTCATTGCTCATTTTCTGTAAAGTCTATGAAAGACGCCCCCCTGGGAGTGCCTCCAAATTCAAAGCATATAGCAGAACAAACAGGAGCAAAAGGTTGGGGGAAAAGCCAGTGTGTGCAGAACAAATTGGCCGGTGATTATTTATACTGCCCAGCGAGAGCCCCAGCGTCGGGACAGCTGATCAAATACGCTTGACCAGCGAGCAGCGACCATCGTGATTGCAAAGGGCCCTCTACACGGTGCTGTCCTAGGGGCCCAGCTGGAACTGGGTGGGAGGGGAAGGAGACCTAGCAGGGCCATGCCGAGTCCAGCCCATGCCGTCCACTGTTCGGTGGGCAAGACCCCTCCTGACCACAAGATCTTCCTGCTGGGACAAGTAGAATAACCCCAACGCGAGCTCACACAGAGCCGCGGCAGGTGTGCGAGCAGAACACGGCTGTCCACATCAACGGGCTCTCAACACCAGGGCCGTGCAGCTAGCTGTCCTCCACAGTAAGGCAGCCAGGGGCCCAGAGACAGGAACAGACACTGCCATGCAGGCATTTCATGAAAACATATGACACGTGATCCCCCTCCTGCGACGTGCCCGGCTCTCCACCTGCAGCTGTGGCTGCAGAGGCTGGTCCTTCGGGGACAGGATGGTCAGTTTCTCATTGGCCCCTGAGCCAATTCCCAGGGATTCTCCCATGTCTACATCTGGGTGACAGGAAGAGAAGGGCAGCCTCTCCCCCGGGACACACGTCCGGCTGATGCCTCTGGGGTGATCATAGCTCACCAGGATCCACAGGAGAAATGGCCTTCAACACCATCTTCCCAGAGGGTCCTTGCTGTCTCTTTCTGAGCACAGAGCCTGAGCAGATGCTTGGGGCTCACGGGGAGCTTCTGCAACCTCTAGGACCATTGAGGACACAGTACAGAGAGCTGACCCTTCGACCTCTCTACTGACGGGGTACAGGTGGCCAGGCCTCAGCCCATGGCGTCCAGCTATCTCCTGGCCTGACCTGGACTCTCCCTGTTCAGCGGTCACGTCCATGTTCACATTGTGCTTCCCTGTGAGTAAGCACAGGCTCGTCCCCCAACCCACTCACCAGCCCTAGGGTGGCCAAAAGCCTAACATCTCTGGCTTGTTCCCAACACTGGTGATTTTGAGATTTAAAGTTTCACCTGCAGGGCCTCCCCAGTGGCGCAGCGGTTGAGCGCTGGGTTGCGAAGCTGCCCTTTGCAGCGCCGGTTCGATCCCCGGTCACAGGGTGAGGGTCCCACATGGCGCGCAGACCTCTCCTGCCGCCCACTGCTCCCCTCAGCAGTGTATTTCGTCAGTCTGTCTGTTCTGCTCCCCGCTCTGGCTCTGGTGAATTCTCTCACCCTCCCGCGCCTCTGACTGCACCCAGTGCTTGTATAAATAAATAAATAAATCTTTTAAAAAAATAATAAAGTTTCACCTGCAGTCACAAAAAGGAGTTATCCTCGAGTGAGAGGAAGTGGACTGGGGCTAAGGGGCGCACAGCTCACAGACGTGAGCTCCAGCCTACAGACCTGCTCGCCGGACCCTCCTACTGAAGACCTTGTTGGTAGATGCTTTATCAATGGTCTGAAGTCACAGTTAAGTGTGATGTCATCTCCCCAGTGACATCACAAGCTCTCTAGGGGTCAGGCTCACTGAGGGGCCGCTCCTCCCACTTGCTTGGGATGCTCGTGTGGACAGGGTCACGTGGCACGATGCCAGCTGCGCTCTGTATTTATCATGAAATCTGACATGTGAGATCTGAACTTACTAAGATGCAATGACGGGGGTGACTTGTCACGTTACCAAAGGCTTATTTTCTTTCAGGGAAAAAGTCACAATTCAATTCCTCTAGGGAAAAGCCCTACAGGGCTCAAAAGATCTATTTCAACATCACCTAACAGAGACACGGCTGGACCCGAGCAGAGGTCAGTGTACCGGCCAGCTATCCTGACACAGCGGCCCACAGTGCATGGTACTCACCAGATGAGGCATCAGGAGGTCAGCCAGGTAGACAAAGGCAGCTCCAAGGGTGAAACCAATGGCCACGGGAAAGAAGGCAAAGGCCCCAAAGCCCCCAGAGGACGTGGCCATCTCGACCGCTGGAGCCAGGAGAGACCAATAGGAAGCTGCTAGCATGACCTAGAAAACCACAATGAGCAACAGGTCATTAAACTGCTCCAGGAAGACCTCCCAAATGGGGTCTGCCACACCAGACCCCACAACTCCTCCCCAGCAAGTATCATGCCAAACCAGAAGCCGCCATAGAGTTCCTGGAACCAACGTTGGAAGAACTCAGTTGGGGCAGGATGGAGTGGACTTTGGGATGATGCCTACTTTGCTGTCGGTCAGACTCTAATTCAGTAGTTCTCACCAGGGGCAGCTGTTTCCTCCAGGCAGTACCTGGCAGTGCCACGCGAGGGCAGGGAGACGAGGCTGCTAGAAGCGTCTGGTGAGTGGAATCCAGAGGCCGGGAACCATTCCATGATCACAGACCCTGCCAGCTAAGAAACCTCTGGCCCCAAACGTCATCATGCTGCTGAGAAATGCTGTTCTCACTGAATGCTTCCAAAACAAGCTGTTCACTGCTTTGTGAGCTCTGCTGCATTACGAGACAACGCTGATTATTGCAGTGCTTGCTGATGGTGAGCTGAAATCTGTCTTCCTTCCATTTTTATCTGTTACCTCTGGGTCTACTCTCTGAAAGGCCAAAGATGTTGTCTCTATTCTGCGCTATCTGACAGCCTGTGGCATTTGTGAACACAACCGGTGAGTCGATGTCAGCTGGGTCCCGTCAATATTCTTATCTCTGAAAAGGCAGAAGGGAGCTGATATATGCTGGTCAGTCACCTACTCTTTCCAGAGACCAATATTCACATGTGACATCTTTTTTTTTTTTTTTAATTTTTTTTTTTTTTTTTTTTTTTTTTTATAGAGGCATGCTTTATTTATTTGTTTGCTGGTTTGTTTGTTTTTTTTTTTTTTTTTTTGTTTATACATGCACTGGGTACAGTCAGAAGCGCGGGAGGGTGAGAGAATTCACCAGAGCCAGAGCGGGGAGCAGAGCAGGCAGAAGGACCGAAGCACACCGCTGAGGGGAGCAGCGGGCGGCAGGAGAGGTCTGCGCGCCATGTGGGACCCTCCTCCCGTGGCCGGGGAGCAGCCGGGGATCGAACCGGCGCCGCAGAGGCCGCGGGCAGCATCGCAACCCAGCGCTCAACCGCTGCGCCACCGGGGAGGCCCCACATGTGACATCTTATTTTATCATCACTGCAACCCTGGGAGGCTGACGTTGTTTGCTAGTGCTATTTGTAGATAAGGAAACTGAATCTGGAAGAAGATTATTTGCTCAAGTTCCCACAGCCAACAGGGGGCAGATCCAGGGGACGGAGCCGGAAAGACCATGTTGACAGAAGAGCCACGAAGCTCGACGCAAATCGCTGTGAGGCCAACTGGATGTAAGAGCCTCCAGTGCTGAGCGAATTCAATGCTCGTCCACCGTCACCTGCACTCAGGAGGCTGTGACGTGTTCTTGCATGAGCACACCCGCTACCTGTGGAACCACATGCTAGTCATCACTGACATGGGAAATGGTGAATGGGTTTCTAAAAATGACTTAATTATGCCTTGTCATAAAAGAACTTCAGTTTCACGCATGTGCAAAATAACCTGAGTGACAGAACCAGGTATTAGCACGGCGGCAAGAAAGAACAACTCCATGCAGCAAGTGACTCCTTCCAGTCATCACCCAGCCAGAATCACTCGCACAGGGCTAGATTCCCCCAGCAAAGGCTGTAGGGCCATTCACAGGAGATTGTATCTGTGTCAGAAACTCCCAGAAAGAACGAACATGTCTCATCAGCTCAGCCCCAGGAGGCCATCGAGGGGACGAGTGGACAACTTCCCCATCCACGGCCTCATCCATGCCTTCCCCGTGTCTCACTAGCTTCCGAGGTCAACAGCCCTGGGTGCTACCATTCCCAGGAAGCTCCCTGGGGAGAAGCACCTGGACCCAGACACAGAACTCTCAAGCAACCTCCCAGACAGCCCCGTCAGCAACTCTAAAACCACGGGATCCAGCGAAGGCTGCGCCATGAATGAATCAATGACACGTTAATTTAAAAACTGATCTTGATCTGGCTCATCGACAAAAGATGGGAGCAGCTCAAATGCACACCAGTGGATGGACGAAGAGACAAAACCTGTTCAACAGACTGATTTTCAGGCACGAGAAGGATGGCATGAGATGCTACAACGGGGATGGACCTCAAGAATACTAGGAAGGAAGCCAGGCACAACATGCCACATATCTGTGATTCTGTTCAGATGAAATATCCAGAACAGGTCAACCCATGGACAGAGAGCAAATCAGCGACTGATAGGGGGTGGTAGGGATGGGAAAGGAAACGGCTGCTTAACGGAGACAGGGTCTCCTTTGGGGGACGAACATATCTGGAACTAGAGACACAGGATGGCTACACAACACTCTGAAATCCCCTGAATTGTGTCCCCCAACATGGCTCATTTCATGGCGTGTGGATTTTACCCCAAAGTTGGTTTTTTTAAGGTGGGCTTGGACTTGGCCTAACCAAGCCTGAGAATCTGATCTCATGGTATTCCCCCTCTCTGTGCTGAGCTCCTGATCCCCTTGCCACAGCCCAAGAACTTCCACTGGAAAATGTGAAAAAGGCAAGACCCAGGCCTCGAGCCCTCTCTTCTAGCCACCCCAGACGCCCTGCCTGAGTCCGTGTGTATCACGGGAAAAGACAGGATCAGGAATCAGGTGTGAGTCTGAGTGTTGGCTGTGTGATGACCTACATCTTCTGCAGCTCTGCTCTGAACAAAGTGGGGCAGTAAGAAACTGACAAGGCTGTTCTAGGAAGTCTATGTGGCAATGCACCCACAACGCCACCCGAACTCCTGGCAGGAAACAGCTGCAGCCGGATCCCTGTGGGGTTGGAGTCTTCACTCTCCCGAGTCTGCCCTCCCCCAGCCTGCTCTCACCCCGCCTCCCTTCTCCACCCCGCTCTACCTGGTCCTTTTCCATCCCACTGGATTCATCATTTATGTCCATGTTTCCCCAGGACCCGGTGCATGGCCAGAATTAGGGCTGTACCCCAGCCGCAGCAACCGGGGTATTCCTGGACAGAGCTGGTCAACTCTGTTGCCTAAGTGAGTTCTCTGTTATCCTCAAGAATGAAGGGGCACGGTGGGGATGCAGAAATCAAAAGAATCTATAATTAGGAAGTGACTCAACACTTACTTTTTTCATCTAAATTTTAAAATGATTTTGCCTTACAAGCTAAGTTCTATGCCAGCTCACACTCAGATGGCCTGGGCCTTAGGCAAACGCTGGCTGAGCAGCTGTTCAAAACAATGGAGCTTTTCTTGGGTATGAAAAGAAGTTGACTTTCAGAGCTTCCAGAATAATGCACTAAGAGTCTACTGATAGAGTTGAAAGGGGTTTTAGGTGGTGACCTAATTCAAATGCTTCATCTAACAGATTTAAACTGAGACCCCCCCAAGAGATTCAGCGGATTCACCAAAGCCCCAGAGCCGGCCACGGCCACAGAAAGCGGGCACCCCCAGATCAAGTCAGGACCATCTTCACCCCTACACTGGCCCAGCGTCTTTTAAGAAACTCTAAATGCTACAGCATGAAGACAAGGTTTATGTTGCTGCCCCTTTTCATCAGGCAAAGAAAGCATCCAGAACTGCAGCCTGGGGTTCATCAGCTTTAGCAATACCCCAATGTAATCAATCTCCTGGAAATCCCCCATTATTATGACAGCAGCTATTCCCAGAAAATGCGGCAGTAAGAAATATTTGGCAACTAATAAATGGCGATAATGATCTTATTAAGCATTTTCCTCAGGAAGATATATCGGAGCTTACAAACCTAAGCCCATGAAGAACCACGACTGCTAGAAACAGAACCCCCCAGCAGCAGAGCCGGAGCTCGGCTCAACACAAAGTGCGTGGACATTACACCCTTGGTCTCAGGCTCAAACGAAAAGGCCCGGCTTCCTCACTCATGGACAACACGTCAAAATGGGAATGGTCTCAGTGCAACGTGCACCCAGATTGGGTCCTGGGGTCAGGAGGAGGAATCAGAGGGAAAACTGGGGAAATCCAAATAAAGCCTGGGGTTTGGACAACTCGGCCATGGTTATGAAAGATGCATGTGCGGGGAGACTGGGCAAAGGTCATGTAGATTTCCTGCTATTGTGCAACCTTCCTGAGCCTCTAAGTTACTTCCAAACCCAAAGTTTTAAAATTGAGTGGCCGTTTCTTAGGACTGAAGTTGAGGAGACGTGCCTGCTGAGAGGTATCAACGCTGAAAGCGGAGACCTGAAGACAGGAGCACCCAACGTTTGCTGTGGGGTCAGCACCATGACTGGTCTGGGGCCTCTGGGGGCGGAAGTCAGAGTGGGGGACTCTGTGCTTCCATCAGGGTGGGGGACAGCCAGCAGAAGGCAGCTTTTAAATTTTTAATTTTAAATTAAAGCCCTGACTCTTAAATTACATAAGCATCTATCTCTGGGGAAAATTTTTAAATAAGCTGATCATATAATTTGAGGATACAGTAATGTTCTCTATCAATGTGCAATATGATTTTTGAATGTTTCCATCAAAGACCCTGATTTCATGGGGAAAATCCCATGGAGGAAGGATTCTATGTACATAAATGCCAATTCAGAAATATTTCTGCCTGATAACGAGACACCCACCTAGACCACATGTTTCTGGGGAAGACCCCTAGACCACAGCCTTATGCCAGAAAAACAACAGGGACTGGAGGAGACATTTAAAATCAGCAGATACCTGTAAGCTCTTTAATTACCTGAGAGTAAAACCCCCCACTTCCCTTCCTTAGTTCCCCAAAACTAGCAAAACTCCTAAGATTCTTTTTTTCAAAATATCATGCAAAATGCCACAGGGATTCATATATTAAAATGCTATTAATTTCCCTCTGGTGTCAGACGTACCAGCACAGAGTCATCAAAAACAATCAGCTGAACACCTAGTCACAGCAGGCAAATCTTCTCATTTATGTGTAAGTGTTCATTTGGGGACAATTTCAGCCCTGGAAATATAAATGAATTTGTGAAGAGTTCCTTAAGGAATACATCAGAATATTCTGGCATGATGGGTGCAGTTAAGCAATTCTTTTATTATAGTAATGACAGTGTAAAGACTGGAAGAAAATCCAAGCCACAAAACAATTTCCCTCTCAATAAAGAAGAGAGGAAATTCTTGCACACAGCTCAGTTACATGCACCAAGTATCAGCAGCAATTACTCAGTGAGCCTCTAAAGATGGTGCACAGAAGACAGGAACACAGAGTCCAAAATAACAATAACCAACTGGGGGCTGCAGAGCAGACCCTCCTTAAATGTCTATTGCAGCAAATGAACATGGACTTGAACTTCAAGGACTTGAGGTCTCCAACAGGCCTTGAGTAACCAAGGCACAGGTAAACTTGCAAAACAAGTCAAGGCAGTATTACTCCCAATGGGCCTCCCCAATGGCGCAGCGGTTGAGCGCTGGGTTGTGAAGCTGCCCAGCACTCAACCGATTCGATCCCCAGCTGCTGGCGAGGGTCCCACATGGCGCGCAGACCTGTCCTGCCGCCTGCTGCTCCCCTCAGCAGTGTATTTCGTCAGTATTCCTGCTCTGCTCTCCACTCTGGTGAATTCTCTCACCCTCCCGCGCTCTGACTATACCCAGTGCTTGCATAAATAAATAAATCTTTAAAAAAAAAAATT